TTATTTACATGTTCAACGACGAGATGGAGATGTATAAATTAATACGCTCGGACGATCACTTTGGTATTACAGTACAATTATATTACGAACTGCCACTATCACTTTCCGAAAGTCTAGCTTCCTCTTTCACTTTCCTTACGTATCGCTTCACTTTCTTTGTCTTGTACAATCCTTGTTTCGATTTTCTGAGTACCTCGATCGCGTTCAGTCTTTTCTTTAAAGCCTCTGCCTTATCCTTCTCCCTTTGCGGTATATAGCTTTCGAGGCACTTCTCTTTAGTCACGGATACATTGAAAGCTTCAGAATCGGCAGACACAGCTGCGAGTGTTTGTTCATCTTGTTGCTCTCGCTTGTCGGTCGAATCTTTCCTCTTCTTCCGGTTCTCCGTCGATGAAGCCGGTCTCTTTCTCCTAAGTTTCGGCTGCACGCTTTCCGTATTCGCGATTTGCTCTGCCATACTCGGATTATTTAATCCTTGCACGGCTTTCTGCACCCGCTTGCTCAAATTCACATCGATCGACTTCGGAACCGTTTGCAGTTTGAAATAAGCGTCTATCAATTTTTGACTCTGCTTCTCTTCTAACCTCTTCAATATCGGTGTTATGATCTCGTCGAATTTGTGTTTCGTCCAGCCGAATTTCTGCCTCGCGTAATTAGACAATAATACTGTGTTCGGCTTACCCCAGGTGAAGCCCTCCCTCGATTCGTCCACCTCAGGGACAAGATACGCTTGCACGACAGCTTGATTCGGGAAGCCTGTCCTTGCAAAAATTCATTGAACTCCACGCGTGTAAAAGGTAAAGGACGCCTTAAAAATCTGACATACCTTTCTGGATTTGTAAGTTCTGTAGTTTGTTTCGTAGACTAGTTCTTCTTGGCCCGGTGACTCTGCCACTTTTGATCCATGAACAGAAGCTCGACAAACCGTGCAATAAATCGTCCCCTTGCGAAGGGAAAGCTGCTAATATTTCTAAAGCGGTGACAGGACCGATACCGGTTAAACCTACGGTGTAGTCGCTACCGACTAGCAAAGCGAGTCGTATCAATTCGTTGCGTGTCAATTCTGAAAAATCATTTCTCGTTTAACAACCTGGAGCGTCGTTTCAGTTGTTCAATCGGAAGTGAATACACTTACTGAAGTGATGATGTATATCGCAGAAACGATACTGAAGAACTTTCTTATCACTGGCGAAAAAGTTCTTGTAAACGCATTGCCCTCCGAAAAGCCAAATATCCGAATCGTCTGTAATCGTACCATCGGTCAGATGAATTTGTTCCAAATACGCGCACTGAGCTTCTGCTTCCATAGGCGCTACAATGTATGGAATTCCGAATAACCGTAACAGTTCCTGTGGATAAACCATTATCCTTGTATCCCACCGCGACAAGAAAATTACTCTGCATATTTCATTTGTATACCGTTATACCTGAGCTTCGACAGATATTTGTGTAGAAATACTGGTACCCTGTCTTTCGAATTTCCCCATGTCCGTCAGCAATTCAGATTGTTCATCTTCTAGACGTGCCTGAAATCAAAGCGTGTCAAGTATTCCAATCGCGTTTTATTTAAATGTAAATGTAGAAATGTAGTCTGATACTCGTGTACCTGTAACGACATCAATTCGTCTTCGTTCGTTGGCAAAGGACCCATGTTTAGAGAATCTATAATCGATGGGGTCGTACTTTCGCTGTCTTCTACATTTTTATTTTCTAAACTATTTTCATAAGAGTCATTTGTCATTTCTACACTGTTTATTTCTGTTGTATCAGTTTCCTCCAATTGTGTACATGTATCTTTATCATCTGCAATATTTGTCACAGATAGTACTTCGATATCATCGGTTTTCGTCGTATCGGATGGATCTTTAACTTTCTCTTCTACTGTTTCTGCGACTGTTTTCTCTAGAATAACTTCATGTTCAAGTATCTCTGAACGATTGGGCAACTCGTTTTCCAGCTTGTCGACACGTTCGTTGGATGCTGATACATCCTCGGGCTTTGTTTCTAATTCTACAGATTTTGATTCGTTGTTTGTTGCTCCGAATACGTCCGCGAACATGTCATCTTTAATGTTTTCGTCACATTTAAATGATATCTGAATACTTTGCTCTGAAACATTTTTCTTAACATTATTGTCAAAATTAAATATCGGTGCATCTTCTATTTCCACGAAATCCGAATCCGAATCTGTTGAACTAATTACTGTTGTCGCATCTGTTTCTACTGGAGCCTCGTTTAAAGTATTTGACATTGTAATGGTCGGTACGATAATATCGGTTTTTTTATTTGATTCTGACAATTTGATCTCTGAAGTGGCTAATGAGTCCACAGCTTCTGTGGTATCTACTTTTGCAGATTCTTTGACACCTTTATTATCTTCGCTAATACTATTTTCTGTTTTGATAACAACATCGCTCTGTTGAGTTGTTTCTATAGTATTTTTTGAAGCTTTACTACGATCTTCCCTCTTATTTTGCTCAAGAAGTGTAAAAATTTGATCCTCCGTTAATCCGCTGTATTCTAACATGTACGTTAACGCAGGATTTACAGTGTGTTTTCCAAAATACTTTTTAGACACCGGTCGCGATTCGCTCAATTCTGTCCCAAACTCTGCTTCGCTACTCGATTCCTTCGCTGCGAGGCTAGCCGTATCCGGAGTGATTATTTCAACATCGCTATTCCAATCATCATCGAATTCATATTCATTTAAATCTTCACATATTCGTACACCCTTACTAGTACCAGCTACAGGTTCTTCTGCCTTGTTTTCATTTGTAGTAGGATTTTCACTATTCGTATCATCGTTGTTACTGATATTCTTAATATAGGCATTTTTATCTGTAACACATGGCTTATGAGTACGAAGGAGTAACGTAAATTTTTAATTTGTAGGAGAGTATAAAAACGTACCGCTAATATAAACCAATCTAGTTGTACTATCAGCGGCAATGCGATAAGTACAATCACGGCCCTTCGTATTTATACCCTGCTCCGTTAGTAATTTCTCTAATTCGTCCAATGTAAGTGATTTCCCTCCCATTTCTTTTTCCGCAGATTCCAAACTCTGTTGGACTAATCTGCGTTTTAATAAGCGGTTCATTTGAAAATTAGAAAATTGATTTGATTCCTAAACACAAAGACAATGTAAACAAATGGACGCAATTGGTATTTGTGTAATTTCGGAAATAAATAATTACGTCAGGCATCTCGTGTAAACGACCCCATGAATTTTGCTTTCTCGTTTCTTTCAGATCAGTTAGAATTTCGTAACGCACATCCGCTGGTAAAGCTTTAAATTCAGTACTAGCTACATCCACGTTATGGATATTTCCAACCCATTTCGTTTGCTTTCGTGGACTTATATTAATGAACGACGAATCTGAATCGTAATCATCGCTGAGACTTAATTCTGCCGGATTCGTGCTCGGCATGTCCGGTAATTTGAACATATCATCCGTGGTCTCTTTATTTTGAAGAGTTAAAATCTTTTGGGATGAATTATTTGGAACGTTTTGCTCCTCTGGATTAAGAACTGTTTTTACTGCAGACTGTTTTATCAAGTTATTTATTAATTCTGTCCTCATCTGTACAGCTTTATTCTTGGCCATAGATTTCTGTTTCCTGCGTAAGGCCTGTGAACACAAAAGAATAACAGCCTCTTTTCTCACTACCTGGTTCCCACGGTAAACTAATTATGTACAGACTATATTATAGTCAAGATAAAAGTACAGTTCCATTAATATATGCATGCAACGTATGCTTTCAATTATTTTAGAAATATACGCAGTCATTATTTAAACAGTTAAATGATGTTTCAAATGATAAATTTTATATTTACAATTGTATCCTTTTTAAGCATCGGTACACCTCCATCGAACACAAACACCGGTTTGATTTTGTAGTATAAAAGTTTGCAAATTCTATTGAATAACCCAATAAGATGTGCATTAGGCTTGGGATTGCCAAAACGGTCTTGGTATCCTTGTAACACTTGATGTATCCAAATGGATATATCTGTAACAAGATTAAAGGATTGTATTATAGGAAGAGTAAGGTTATAATAAATAAGAATAAGATAAAATATCAATATTCAAATATACCGATAGCTAGAATTTTTCCTTCGAGTGTCTCTAATGGAACTTGCTTTCCTGTTGCATCGAGTAAACGCCAAAGACCATGAACACCCATTATGACTGATGGGATATCTGTACAAAAACAATGTTTCAAAACAAATGCATACAACGCAATATTATATTAATACCAATGTTACGAAATGACACGCTTAATCCTATAATATACTACATGTTTGCAGTAATGCAAGAATATTCATAACCTACTCAATAAGTAGAAGTAAGTATTTATTGACCATCTAACCACTGATTATTCAGACGAATAAGTTCTTTTGCCACATAGTCTGAGCACGTTGATGTTGCATGTCAAGAATTGTTCGTTTTAGAGTGTAACAACAAGTAATTCAATTTGCAAACTCTTGCGCGCATCGACATCGCACCACATCGGTCAGCTGGCTCACAAACAATACGCCCGTATGCATTATGCGCGCTGCATTTACACTCATAATGTAAATAATTAACAACTACATAATATGTTAGTTCGGTGTTCGCGAATTCATGATTAATAATGTAAAAATAATTACTTGAAATGCACTGACCAATACAAAATACGAACGTAAAAACTTTTAATTCGCTTTATAATATACCTTCAATGTTATGAACATCATGAAAAGACTTTCATGAAATTAGTACAATTTGTACTAATTTGTTCGAATTACATATTATTCGATCAGCTGCCGATTCGACTTTAATATTACACTAAAATTCGAAAACCTGTGTATCTAAATTTAAAGGTAAATAAAATTGAGCCAAAATCAAAGCGAAAATGGAGTAATTCAAAAAGAATGAAAGAATGCGTAATTTGAATTACAAATATGCATGTAACACGTTAGCGTAAAAATAAACGCGCAAAGTTCGGCGAAGCAAAATTGAATTTTGCAAATGTGCTTGAGAATTTCGTAATAAAATGTCGCAATCAAACATAACATTTATTAATATTTACAAATGTCCTATTTGCATGAAATAAAAAGTATGCGGCATGGAACGTTGATTTGCCTGTTCGTATGCAATCGTCCTATATTGCGCCGTATCAATTTCTTGAATATTTGTGTGACTCGTATGCAAACACGTAACGTAATACGTGAAATATATTTGTGTGTTTCCTCGAGTCTTTCGTAGGCATATACACACATTCATAGTCATGATGTATATATCGTATCGTCATCATCAGAGAAGTGAAGTGAAGTGAGGTAGAGGCCACCCACTCTTTCCCACAGCAGGTTTTTCCCACGCCCCCCATGGTAACCCCAACATCCTTTTGCGGCAGCAATTCCACGGCATCTACGGCGTAGAGGGGAATAGCTCATGTCAGGTGGGGAACAAGAGGGGAAACTGGAGGCGCTTGGGTCGACCAGGCCATTGTACAACACTAAAACAATAGAATCTGCAGCTCTCAGTGTCGTAACAAACCGTCTAAACTCCACAGTGCTTGTTAACGTATGTAGTATCGGTCCAAAAAATTTTTCAAATCTCTATTAAAGCTTTTTATATCGAGCAAAAATCGTACGAGTTTTGTTCGTAAAAATAAATTGTATTCGCAACAGAAATTTTAAACGGTTACCGGAACGCGTAATATTTCCGAGTTTCATCTTGATTTTAAAATATTTGTATTTATTTTCGAATATTTACATTTATTTGTTATTATTAATTTTAATATTCCCGTGGGAACGGGACAATTATAAAATTGAACAGTAGTCAAAGATTTTCCTTTCGAACACCTTTCTTGTCCTTCGTAGATACGTGCCTGTTACAGGCACTTACGCGGTAGTAATAACTCTACGTGTCGTTTCGAACTTAGTTAGTTGGCGAATATCGGCGGGAGAGGTTGTGTCCTCCGTCTTTTGGTTCAGTCCGTCGTTACAAGTGTTTACGATTTACAGTCGGGCTGATGGTAATAGAATTATTCGTATCGAATTATTTCGAATGTCGGGTAGATTGTAATACATTTTTTTTATTAGTGCTGCGAAACATTATGCTCGCATGTTGGATTTAAAGTGGCGCGCGCGGCGAAATCATTTTTAACAGTTGGCAGGACTGTTCGGAAAATTCGGAAAGTGAACAGGTGTTTTTTGAATGGATTAGGGAGAATAGACGACGAGGACGCAAAAGGATTTGCGAATGGAGAAAGATCGACGAACGGCGCGTTATTCGTGATTGAACAGCAGTTTAAAAAATGCATTGGGATTTATGCTCTGATTTGTATTGCCATAGAAAATGAGGTGAGTGTCAAGAACGTAACCTGTTTCTATTTAATGTAACCTTTTCTGCGCCGACAAGGTAAATAAACTTAAACTCATTGATTGTTAGCGTTTCGATAATTCGTAAAAGAAACTTGTTCGTTAACTTTTCATTTATGAATGATTTGTAAGTAGTTTCCATTGATAAGCACTGTATGATGCGTATATATATACGTGTATGTATGTATATACATATTATATATATTATATATATACGTATAATGTATATAATATACTCACAGTTTTATTACTTGTATGTGAAAGCAAAGGGACAGAGTAAACATTATGTTTTGTTTCAGGTTTTTATGTGTTCATTTGGATCATTTGAATAGCTTATTTTTTATATTACTTTTATTACATTACATTACATTTACCATTATTCTTTTTTCTACATGTATCAGACTGGATTAGGAAGACCTTAGTCATGTGAATGTTTTAAGAGTACAGAAACCTAGAAGAATTAGGTATTCTCAGTGTGGGTTATCAGTTGTACGACACGCTGATTATACAATGTATTGTTATTGTGTTGATTTCATTTGACGTAACATAGTTGTGTTCCTATTCTTAGTGCATTTAACGAACAGTTACCAGCATATGCCTGCAATTGTAGCCAGACAATTAACGTTACGAGTTTACCAGGAAATAAGAGTTTGTGTTTTTTTTGTAGGGTATCATGTATGTATGCATTTAATTGTTTATCAGTTTTTTTTAGAGCAAGTTTTTTCTCTCGTACAGTAACATGTAAACATGTTGAGTTTAAAAATAAACATTTTATCAGAACAATTAAAGGAGTAATATAAAATTAGTAACAGAATACCTTTCCGTTCATACATGTATATGCTTAGAATGTGTAGACCAGACGAACGAGGGTGCCTTAATTCATGCAGGAAAAATGAGCTCAGCTTGGTTCCCACAGTGTATAAGTGCATTTCCTCTTTCCTGTATTAAGACTAGCAATTCTTGGTAGCTAGTTTAAAGAAAGATAGCTTGAGTTAATTACATCTTCTATCGTGAAAAACAAAAATCTTTCTCACGGCAAAGCTTTAAGCGTGCAGATTCGTATGGTTCTGTGTCTATTCAAACTCGTCTAGCTAATGACATAGCATTGTTTCACATTACGCTCTATAATGTTGGAACGTGGTGTTCTTCAAAGAACGCTTGGCTTTCTAAAGCAAATTAGGATATTATTTACTTTTCCTGTTGCTTTTAATTTCATTGAATGACTGATTTCTTTTTTTTCTCTTTTTTTTTCTAAACAATAACAAAATATCAGAAAAAGACGAGTATAGGTTTGCGACACGGATAGGCGTCGTTTTCTTTAAGAAATGAGTATCCGACGCAAGGATAGGACGTTTATAATAATTGTCCACTGAATCAAATTTCTTCCAGGTATAAGCGACAGTCGCAATTATGACATGCAAGGACGACAAAGATAGGAGGCGGGCGACCTAGCGATTCTGTGGTTCTACAGTGGGAATAGAAGCGGAAGTTAAATATGCCACACCAGTTTGGACTGCCTACGATGGCGCACGGAATGCAATCTCCTCCTTCGCCGACTTCGGTCATGTCGGTGTATCCCCGATTCGGGTCCGGTGTCTACAGACCGGACCATCAGGACCAGAGATTAACGCGCGAGGCGATGGAGCGTTATTTGCGCGACAGGAGCGACATGGTGATCGTGATTCTTCACGCGAAGGTCGCGCAGAAGTCGTACGGTAACGAGAAACGATTCTTCTGCCCTCCGCCCTGCATCTATCTGTTCGGCGACGGCTGGAGGATGCGGCAGGAGCAGATGCTTCGCGAGGGAGAGAGCGAGCAGTCGGCTCAGCTCTGCGCGTTCATCGGTATAGGGAATTCCGATCAGGACATGCAGCAGTTGGACCTGAACAACGGTAAACAGTATTGTGCCGCAAAGACGTTGTACATTTCCGACTCGGACAAGAGGAAGCACTTCATGCTCTCGGTGAAAATGTTCTACGGTAGCGGGCACGATATAGGGGTATTTCACAGTAAAAGAATTAAGGTGATCTCGAAGCCGTCGAAGAAGAAACAGTCGCTGAAGAATGCCGATCTGTGTATCGCGAGCGGTACGAAGGTGGCACTGTTCAACCGGCTACGATCGCAGACGGTGAGCACGCGGTACCTTCACGTGGAGAACGGTAACTTCCACGCGAGCTCGACGCAATGGGGCGCGTTCACGATACACCTGTTGGACGATAACGAGAGCGAGTCGGAGGAGTTCCAAGTGCGAGACGGGTACGTGCATTACGGGAGCACGGTGAAGTTAGTGTGCTCGGTGACGGGTATGGCTCTGCCGCGTTTGGTAATCCGGAAGGTGGACAAGCAGATGGCCAGCCTGGAGGCCGACGATCCTGTCTCGCAACTGCACAAATGCGCGTTTTATATGAAAGACACGGATCACATGTATCTCTGCTTGTCGCAGGAACGCATAATACAATTCCAAGCGACGCCCTGTCCGAAAGAGGCGAACAAGGAGATGATAAACGACGGCGCGTGCTGGACGATAATCAGCACGGACAAGGCGGAGTATCAGTTTTTCGAAGGGATGGGACCGGTCAGGTCACCGGTGACGCCAGTCCCGTTGGTGCACAGCCTGCACTTGAACGGCGGCGGGGACGTTGCGATGCTCGAGCTGACCGGCGACAACTTCACCCCGAATTTGCAGGTGTGGTTCGGCGACGTGGAGGCCGAGACCATGTACAGGTGTCAGGAGACATTGCTGTGCGTAGTGCCCGACATATCGCAGTTCAGGGGCGAGTGGCTATGGGTCAGGCAGCCGACGCAGGTGCCAGTTTCATTAGTACGCAACGACGGTATCATTTATGCGACTGGCCTGACCTTCACCTATACCCCGGAGCCAGGGCCTAGGCCGCATTGTCCGCCGGCCGATGAAATCATGAGAGCACCGCGTTCCATGCACAATCAAGCCAGTATGCCGCCCGCGATCGCGGACGTACCTTGGAACACGCATCAACCACCTCAGCCGGGTCTCTGATGTTTCCTAGACAATTGCACTGTGCGTCACCAAAGTTCACGGGCCAGCGAAACGGATGCCGTTTGTCGGGCCGATCACGACAACAACAACAACAACAACAACAACAACAACAACAACAACAACAACAACAGCAACGAGGACTCCGACAACGAGAACGTTCTGGCCGCTATGAATGGCGAGCCGGCGAACGAGGACGGTAGCTCGATGGTATACGCGACGAAAGACTTGTTGCTTCGAGCCGATTACGCGGAGACGCGTCCAGACAATACAAAGATGACGTAGCACCATTTTTCGTTACGTCGTCGACATCCTTCTGCGTAATGCACCTAACCGAATCCGTGTACAGCGTGTCGTGTACCCTGTCCCCATGTTCATACCGCGATCCTACCGTAGCCCCCCTTAGCTTTAAGTGTTGATAAAGATTTACACAGAGAGAAAATAATAATTTATGGCACTCCTAGGATTAAGAGCTTTCTACGAATGTGAATGTATAGCGAATTACGTGGCGCAATAACGAGAGAAAACGAGAAACGCGATGAACGCCGTGAAAACCGACGGCCTGGTCCGCGTAATTGCACATATCGATCGTTCGAAATCAGTTTCAAACTCGGCGTCGATCACGTTCGGCGAATGATTCCGAGTTGCGGGAGAAATCTTTGATCTTCGACTCGATCGCAATACCTCGCGAACCGACACAACAGACGTGTACACGCGTACGTTTCGTTTCGTGCGTCTCAATCAAATTTTCGACAAATCGTACGTCTCTACGATCGACGGACTTCGAGAGCGGCCGCGTATCTCGCTCGTAGAGAAGTCGAGCCGACAGAACCGCGCGGACAAGTGTTCCTTTCTCGATGGAAGGATAACAGAGACTTCGCAAATGGAGCGTCGATCCATTTCCCGTTTTAGTTTCATTCTCCTTTTTCTTCTTTTCCCGTGGCGTTCAGTCTCGCGGATCCAATTACGTACTGTACCGTACTTACGCGTCGACGTACGCTTTAGAAAACCGCCACGATCACGTTACGTCGCGGATGCGCGAATTTTCAGATAGGCGTTCGTATAGAGAATTTTACGAAATTTTATGCACAGCTGATTCGCATCGATTACTTCGATTTCCCGCGGCATCCGTCATCGGTCTCTCACGCGGACGTTTCCTATTTATTCCCAGGATTCGTATCATTTCGCCGATAAGATTGTCGCGCCCGTCTGTACCGATTTCACGGAATTCCTTTCTAATGCAGACCGCGCTGATCCGATTCAAGGGAAAGACATGTATATCGGCGGCGTCTCGATACGGAATCGAGACAAAGGCGAAACCACCGTGACACACGTTCTCGCGTCTCTCTTATGTTTTACAATAAATTAGACAGATTTCTATACGACAAAACGTTTACTTGGTCACCTCTGTTACTTCCAGATCCCATGGGATTAGAAAGCAGTCGATTAGACGCGATCAACGCTGGAACTGCAGGAGCAGTGAAGACAATCCAAGAATTTTTATTTCGCTAATATTGAAGTAATCGGAATGCTTTCGTAAGGAATTTGCAAATGAACGATCGCAAATGACGATTGCAAATGAATCTAATTATTATCGAATCTAGTTGCTATTCGTAAGGAATACAATAGTAATTGGAGTATATAGTTCATAAATAAATCGACCGCTCGGTGGTTCTAGCGTCAATGGATAAAAGGATCGCGATCCTGTCGATGTTTCAGCCGCGAATCGTGGATGATGGAAACATCGTTTAACGTCGACGAATACGCTCGAAGCGTTAGACACGCGGAAGACCGGGTGGACACGGTGAATTCCGCGAAAATCCGAAAGCGCAAGAGTCTGGGTTAAACGCGGTTCGTTTCTTGGCGTCGAATCGGCACGGGCTTTTTACCCAGATAGCATCGAATATAATTATCTGCAGCAGGAAGCGAGATATGGATCGCTTTGGGAATTGTCTTCCCGAAGAGATCCATTGTGAAAGAGGAATGTCGGTATATGTATTCCATGGGAATTTACCCACGATTAAAATTTGCACCGAGTACCTGAAGAACACGATTATCTTTATTCACAGTAATAAATTGCGACTTAATAATAATTACATCGTTACTCGTATCATTGGACGGATGATCAACGAATAAATTCATTGCTCGCGGTTCGTTCTACCGGAAACATAATCTCGAATAAATGTAAGTGCATCCGTGCGTAATTTTTTCCTTTAGTGCTGCTCAATTTTCGGAGGAACGTTCGTCGGCCTGGGATTCGTTCGATCGTGTATCGTTTTTAAGTTGTAGCAAAAAGAGAGAAAAAAAAAATGAAAACAAAAGAAAAGAAAAGAAAAGAAGATTTATCTCGAAACGACGTTGGGCGGTACGTTTGAGCGTGAAAAATTCTTTAATTATATCTCCTATATATATTAAAATAATATTTTACAAAACTATATGAAAATCTTATTTGTAAATAAATCATATACAATTTTTCAGCTAATCGTTTGTGTACACGTGCGTTGTCACGGTTTTCCTTTCATCTGCCGGGTTTTCTTGTGAACGACGGAACGGGACGAGACGGTTAAATCAACAACGGATGAGTATGAAAATGACGACGCGTCGACCGTGTTCACCGAGTAATTATAGCGTACGTCTATAAGCCGCGCCGGTTCGGGCGCGGCGGTTCTTTACGAATAAGATAAAGCGACGCTTTCGTCTGTTAAACGAGCTCCCTCGGTAGTATGCAACGGTAAAGAAGACTCGCAACTCGCGCGAAATCACTTTCAGCGTTTATGACTCGGTTCGCGCGCACGTGCGCGCCATTCTCGCGAGGAGGACACTCGCGGGACGTGGACGAAACGAACGCGGACGCGGAGGTGTTTACTTTATCCGTATCGTTCGCTGTTTGTTCATGTTGGTGAGCATCAAGGAGATGTACGAGGTTAGAAGGTCGTCCATTTTGTAACCGAGCGAGGTCTCGCACAGTAGCTTCGAGCCTCGTACCAGGTTGCCGATCGTCATGTGGAAGTAAGTGTTACCTGACGACCAATTTGAGATTCTGGTGAAAGGATGCGTCACTAGTATATCCTGGAACAGAACACGATCGTTAGACTATTGCCGAGCTGTCGTTAACACGTTGAACGCCGCATGATTTCATAAAGCAAAATTCTTGAGAAAGATGTAACATTAAACCATTCGATTGAATTGCATTGTTGCAAGTTCATTTAGCTGAATGTCACCGCATAGCATTATTTATAATATATTCAAATAATCATCGTTTAATTGTGAGGACTGTGGTACAATTCGATTTGGTTGGGGGTCACCGGTGATCCCATGGCATTCAATGTGTTAAGTTTGTTACGAATCGATTCCGAGATAGTTCGGAGCTATTTGCTCACCTTTGTTTGCGGATGTATCAGGCTGACTCCGTGTTTGTTGATTGCAATGAGTAATAGTTCTGGATAGTTTGGTTCTGTACTTTGTTTTACTTCGAAGAAGGCTGAACCGAACGTCGGCCATCTATAGACGATTTTCAGGAATGTGATCTTGGCGTCCTCTGGACTCATTCCTGTTACGCGTGGAAATAATGTACGGAGGATATGTAACTACGTTATGATTAATTTAATTTAATTTAATTTAATTTAATATCGGTTGACGCAACTTACCAGCATCCTGATTGTACGCCGCTATTATCGATCTCTTCCAATCGTTAGAGCTCTGTATCTTTACCAGATCACCGGGTATCAGTTCTCTCAGCATTTGCCTGAAAGAACACGCATGGATTAGGAATGATTCGTTCGGCTCGGAGGTTACAGAAACAGAGACAACGATGAGCATTCGAGAATCAAGTTTCGCTTACGGGATCGCTTGAAGTTCTTGCTTGCTCTCGCCGAAACGGACTCTGTACACTAACGCTGCCAATCTCGACGCCTCCTCCTTGGTGCATTTGTGATAGCCTGACAAAAGAAATCGGTGAAGCAACGAATCGGTAGAGAAACGACTATTCGAGAGTATTACCTCGTAACAGTTTAGGAAGCTCTTGGTGGAAATGGAAAATGAGGTCGGCGTTTCTGTCCTTGCCGGGCACGGTGTTGGTCCACAACTTCTTCATGAAGAACACTTGGTAGGTAAACTGGGGCGGCACGCCTGGAAGCAACGCGGATTAAGTTCGACTCGTTTCAACGATTCCTCTTTGAAAGCGACAAATTTGGACAAGTCGCTCGTTGACCAAAGGTTAACTGTAGTTTCTGAATTTTTAAAAAATTACCAAAGTCATCGATGGACTCTTAACTGTCTATACTTCGAATAAGTTTAAATTTGTTGGTTTCTTAGTTCGGTGGAGTTCAATGTTAAACAATGTTAACGAACACGTACCATCGCGGGACGGCCGAGCTTTCCTGATCCAGTCCGTGAGATGTCGTACAAAGTCGAAGAAAAAGTCGCCTTCCGGGACCGAGATAACTTTGTCCGCGATCTTGACGAACAAACTGAACCCTTCCGCCGACCGCAGGTTCAGCCTTTGCGCGATGTTCTGGCAGAAGTCCTTCGCCCTCGTCGACGAATCGACCTCGAACGCCTGTGCAGCGAGAAACGTTCAAGCATCGGACGTAGAAGTGAATTCGGTAGTTTCTCGGACCCAACCGATCGCGCGTGCATTTTGAATTTCAATTATCCCTGCCGCTTTAGGGCTCAAAGGTATTCGAAGAAGATACCGAATTAACGAAAAGATTCCACTCACTTCGTCCGTGTCGTCTGGGAAATAGACTTTGTGAAATATCTGCGTGGTTTTGTGTTGTATAGCTTCCACCTCTACTTGGTGCGGGGGGTACTTCCGTTGGCCGTTTCGCAAGGTTTTTTGCAGCCTTTGCAGAGAGTCTTGGGATATGGGATGCCGCCTCGTGCGCAAAAACAGAGTGAGTTCCTGGAACATCGGTAAAGGGGGTCCGGTAAAAACGATTCGCCGCGTCGCTCGTTGCCTGGGAATCGAGCCCGTACCTTCAAAAGGCTTTGGCTGCAGGTGAAAAGCCCGGTGGCGAGCCACATCAGTTCCCAGCCTCGCTCCTCGCTTAGTCTGTTCCGGTTGTCCGTGAGCTGTTTCATGATCTGGCAGTAGATCTCGTCCCGGAGGATCTCGTTCTTGAGGGGCCCGTCGAAGATGAGGTCCGTGTACTCGTTGCCGACGCGCGGTCTCTTCGTAGGTAGGTCGCCCATGTACTTGAGCATGGCGTTGAACGCGAAACACGCCTCCTCGGCCAGTTCTTCCTTCGACGTTAACTTTTTTAGAAGCGGCTGCTTTATCGGGTCCCTGGAGTGGTGCCACAGCTCGTCGGTGTGCCCGCGGCGGGCGGTCGTCAACGTTAGCGCCTTCGACATTGTTCTTTTTGGCGGAGTCCTAAGGTGTTCCGATAAGGAAGAGACGTTAGAGTTAGCGACTGAACGTTTCGATTGCTTGAGTGCCAAGCGGCGTCGTTACACTGTCTGAAAGTGCCCCTCTATCGATTCATATAGTCAAATTAACTTTACGTTTGTCTTCCTTTTATGATTTCTTCTTATTCTCGTTATTGCTCGCTTAGAAATGGAAGAACGACTATTTACAATCTTTTCATGTAAACATAGAAAAGCGTCATTCGCGATCGCGCCGCTTGGCACTTCTCGACTGGATTTTCGCGTCGACGCGAGTTCAGATACTTGCCGAAAATGGTCGATAGCGTACTCCAGGAGGGTGTGCGGCTTGTCGCGAGGCTCCACTCCGTTCACCTGTTGCGGATACAGTTTGCGACCGTTTTCCGTTCCTTCGATGCTGAACAAGGACTGCGGACACGATTGATTCCGTGGTAAGAGAAAACGATGGTAAGAGACGCACGGTGAGAAGATGAACGTGATTATGTAAATTAAGTGAATCCTTGATTTTAACGACCTCGAAATAGGCTATCTAGCACGTGATTCTGAGCAAATTGTCTAAAATCATCTTCTATCGTAGCTCTATTCCTCTAACTTATCCTTGGCTAGCTTAAAAATTCGAGTTTGCTATTAAGATTCGCACAATCTAGTTGAACATACGTTTTTCTGTTAAATATCAATGGTACCTATGTTGCAACAGCTGTGTTAAAAAAGTAGGCCGCCTCCCGTGACTTACCCAAATTAAAGAAGGTCGTTCTCGGTTCTTACCAGTATGTCGTTCGGCGGTTTGCTCAGTGAAGGCAGAACGTAAACGGTCTCCGCGGGAAAATCACCCTTCTCGGTGGTTCTCTCGCAGGTGCCGATGCACCAGCCCGAATTTAGGACGGTCTCGCCGGTGCTCTCTTCCTCTAGCACGATAAGATCTCCCTTCTGAAAGCTCAGGAACGACGAGCTCTCACCCGGCGCCTTGTAATCCTGCAGCGCGATCACGAACTTGCTGCGCTTCTTCAGGCCCTCCAAGAAGTACACCACCAGATCGCGGATATCTTCGGCGTTCGGGCTTTGGAACGTGAACTCTTCGCCTCGCACCGTGGACAAATTGAACGTCTGCGTGAACATTTTGTTCGTTCTGGAAATGAGAGAGACAAACGGAGAGAGAAACAGAGAGAGAGAGAGAAAGAGAGGGGGAGAGAGCGAGAGAGCGAGAGAGGTAGAGAGAGAGAGAGAGGTAGGTACGTAGGAGGTACAGAAAGAGAGAGAACGCGCGGCGATCGTTTACGTGAGAGCGGACTTCCGCGACGTACTTCTGACTAGATACGGTGGTGATCTCGGGGAAGGACAATTCCAGGAGCACCTGCTCTTGATCGTCCACGACGTACACACCGGTCCAGTTCACCGCTATGATCACGTCGTTCTTCGGCAGGTTCGGCCCGGAGTTCCTGTACGCCTCGTAGAAGCGGGAGAACAATAGGGGCCACTTGAACTTCGCGTAGCCGACTATGTCCTCTTTGACGCGTAACGCTGGCACCTTCTCCTTCAGATAGTAGCTCTGCAAGAGGACGTTCGAATGAAAAATAACGTAGGACAAGTTCTGAGCAGCCAACGAGCGAAAGCGAAGCATACCTTTTTGTACGCTTGCAGAACGAGGTGTCCCCACCTGTCGATCGCCTTGTCGATACCGGTTAAACAGTAATCCGGAATGTAATTGGGCAGCAGAGTGTAAAGCCTGTCGACGTTCATGTCCATGTGATACTCTATGTAGTACTGCTGGGCAGCGATCATCGCTAGGTCTTCCTCCTTGTCGCACCGGTACTCGCCGAACTTGACCCCCCTGACCACCTGCTGGTAGATCAGATTGGTGGCTACCTGGTCTTCGGTTGGCTCGTGCCAAGGCGCGAATATCTCCTTGCGGAAGAACAATCTCCACGGCGCGTTCCGTTCCTGCGCGCCCTGCTCCTTCGCGTACTGCTCGCACTGCGAGATCGCGTCCATCACGTGGTCCCCGCCGCTGCCCAGCGACGACACCTTGTCGAACAGGGCGATGTAAAGCGAGAAGCCGAACTGATCGCGTAAAGATATCTTGTCGGACAGTTGGTTGCAGAGTTCCCTGGCGGTGGTCGCGGAGTCGGCCAGCAGCGTCTTCGTGTTCCCGTCCATGAAGGTGATCGGCAGCATGATCGGCTTCTTCGATTTGGTCGCCTGGAGCTCCAGCCAGCTGGGCGGCTGGTTCCGCGTCCCGTTGTTGAACGTCCTCTTCAATCGGTCCTCGCAGTACGGCGCGTAGCCCGGCGGACCTTCCCTGATGAACGCGCGCAGGTAGTTGACGAACTTCTCGGACGGGGCGAAGCAACCGACGCACAGCGACAACAGGATCCAGCCGCGAGCGTGCGACGACTTGGAAGGGTTGTTCGTTAGCTGCTTGCAGATCTGGCAGTAGATCTCGTCGCGCAGCTCGGCGCGCAGTATCCCGTGGCCGATGATGAAGTGCAGCTTCTCCAGGTTCGACGTCGGCCTAGCCTCCAGCCAGGACTGGTAGCTGTCCGCCGTGTACTCGTCCTCCTGCAGCTTCCGCCGCACATCCTCGCCGAGTTTGTTCTTCCTCTTCAGCGTGAGCGAGACCAGCTTGTGCCTGATGGATCGCGGCTTCTGCCTGAGAAAGGTCTCCGGGTCCACCCCCATCATCTGAGCCTCTTGGAACTCTTTGCTGCGGATGAAATTGCGGCCCAGCGTCGCCGTCACCTTCGACATTACGGAAGTCGTGTCCCTGTCCATCGTGTGGAACCTGGGCTCCGGCAAGTCGCCCGTGAATCTGAGTATCGTGATCCAGAGCGCTTGCGCGGCGAGCTGGTCGCCCTGCGTGTGCAACGGCAGCAACGGGTGCTTCAGCGGTTTCCTCGAGTACTGATGCGTGATGTTCCCCTGGAAATAGGTGGCAGCGAACTTCTGGAACTTGAACTCGGACAGGTCCTCCTCGTCCTCCGAAGCGGTCTGAATCGGGCTGATGATCTCCTGCTGGTCAGCCTTCGGCGCGGGCAGGTCGTTGAACACGGACGTCTCCCTGGCGGGCGTGGGCGCCTCGCTGCTGGAGTCCGGCAAGAAGTCGAACATCGCCTCGACCAGCTTGCTGTCGTCGACAGGTTCATCCTGCTTCTTCGCCGCGTCGTTGATCAGGTTCTTCTTGATCTCCATCCTGCGCCTGTCCTCGAGCTCCATCTCGATCTCCTTCCTCTCCAGCTCCTGCATCCGTTCCCGGTAGTTCTGCTCCGCGATCTCCTTCGCCCTCTTGTTGCCTTGGTCCTTCAGCTCGCGCTCCTCCTTCTTCCGCAGCCTGAGCGCCTCCACGTGCAACCGGTACTCGTACTTGATCTTCTTGTACCGCCTCTGCGCGATGAGCCGCCGAACGTGCGCCTGTATCTTGACGATCGCCCACAGCTTCTTCTGGTACATTCTGCGCACCAGGTAGCCCCTCGCCCGCGCCTGCAGCGCCACGATGTGTCCCCTGAGGTGCCTGAAACGATGCGACAACACTCGCGACCTGATCAACGCCTGCAGCCTCATGTAGCCGATCCTCATACGCTTGTAGCGCTGCCGCTGCGCGTAGCCGCGCCAGTACTTCTGCACCACCGTCGCCGCTGCCCTCATGCGGAGGAATCGCCTGCGGTAGACCCAGCCGCGGATGTTGCGCTGCAGTATCAGGATCTTGCGCGTGAGGACTCGGTCGCGCTCTTGCTCCAGGAACAGGTCGTGGGCGTCTTTCAGGAAAACTTTGGTGTGGCCGAGCTGGTAGTCGGACCGCCCCAGCACCGCGTGGCAGATCCTCGAGGTGGCCGCGTGGCAGTCCACCTTGTGCGACGGCGGCACGCCGGGGATGAGGAACCGGTATCTTTCGACGAACTCCGAGAAGGAGTGCCTGATCGGATAGCCAGCCCTGCGGATGCGGATCGTCTCCATCATGCCGGAGTATCTGAGCTGCCGGCAACAGAGCCCCCTGTCGAACATCATCGGCTTCTTGTACTCGTTCGGCTTGATGCACCTGATGAAGAAAGGCTGACAGCTGCACAGGGTCTTCATCAACGAGTCCAGGGACTTCTTGAACTGAGTGGACAAGGTGGGCGCCCTTTTCCGGGTCTCGGAGCCCATCCCTATATCCTCGGCGAAGCAGGCTTGGAGGAATTTGTTGGACGATATGTGGATCAGCTGCAGCAGGTCGCCGCTGAACGTGTCCCGGTTCTTCTCGAGGAAACTCCTGGTGTCGTAGAACACCACGCCGGCGAAGTGGTTCAGCCCGAACGACGTGTTGATATCGGACTTCGGCTTCAGGTAGTTGCGGTGGGTACCGTGGGTCTTGTGTATCTTCGCGAGCATCGTCTGATCGGTTCCCTTCGGGAACTTGGACTCCTCGTCGATCAGCGCCATGATGTTCAGCTGCTTGATCGCTATCAGGTCCAGCGCGTCCTGATTGTCGACGAACTCTATGTGCTGCCAGTTGATCCCCTCGTGGTTGTACTCCTCCTGCTCCAGCTTGAAGATGTGCTGCACGAAGAACTGCTGGAGATTCTCGTTCGCGTAGTTGATGCAGAACTGCTCGAAGCTGTTGTGGTTGAAGTTCTCGAATCCGAAGATGTCCAGCACCCCTATCGCGCTGCGGGACGTGTTCTTCGGCCTGTAAATCGCCTCGTTGATCTTTTTCACGATATGCACGAACAACCGGCCGTAGATCCCCTTGACGAACGCGTCCCGTATGTCCACCGACTGTTCCCTGGACAGCGTGGATACCTGCGCACGCGTTACGATTCCCGGATAGTAATCGGTCTCTCATCTCTGTCGCCACACCGGGGGCAGTTTCGCGCGGCGCGAAACCGTCGGCGAGTCGCGGAACCACGCAGAGTTTACTTGTTACTTACAACCGTCTCACCGTGAGCAAATATCGTTCTGCGGGTGAGCGCGTCTATCAGAGATTGAACTGGCACGCCCAGCAGCTGCGCCACCCTTCTTACGTTCGTCTGTTCCGGTATCTCGGTGGCGTCCAGATTGTCTGGAAAACAGAAGGAACCGGTTCCGCTTTCAATCCTAACGCCTAATACCCAATATCTAACACCTAACCCGTAATATCTACCGTTTAATACGTTCACTGCCACTACTTACTCCTCCATAGCAAGGATAAAGAGAAACATTTAAATTACTTGCCATCCCAGTTCTTGGGTTGCACTATCGCCTGGCCACTCGCGTTGCTAAACAATTTTTACTCGACATCGATCGCCTTTATTACGCGGATGGAACTACAAATCAATTGAGACCCTAATAAACCCATTCTTAAAATTTCCATACAAACATTTAGGAAAGTCAGTTTAACTGCTCGGTAGTTAGTGCTAATAGTCCTCCCTATAATGTTGTAGTTTCCGTTAACTTCCGTTTCCTCACCTACAACAGTGGCCCTGTACTTGACGTTCCCGATGTGCAGCAGGGCAGCGAGTAGCTTCAAAACTTCCCATATCTCCGTGTCGGAGAACAAGAGAACCTTCATCGCTGACCTGATGTCCGCGAATTCCGCAGCATCGTCTCGACCCTCGCACGTGATGCTGTCCCCCTGAAAACGAGATCAGCGTCGGAGAACGGAAGAAGAAAGAACGAAGAAGAAGAAGAAGAAGAAGAAAGAGGAATCGAACGGGACAGCCGTTCGTCGTTCGTCGTTTCGTCGTCCTCCTTGCCACGAGGTCTGGGCCTTACCCCTGTCAAGTACTTGTACGAGGACGCCTCCTCCAGCTCCAGCTTCAGCTTCTCCTCCTTCGACAGGCCGGCCAACATGCAGTAGAATATGTGGTAATTCCTTTCGTCCAAGCTTTGCGAGACTATTCGAGACTTTTCCAACAGATACTGCTCGATCTTAGCACCCTCTATCACGCCCTGCTCGTTGAAGTGTATGTCGATGTACTTGCCGAACCGGGACGAGTTGTCGTTCCTCACTGTCTTGGCGTTGCCGAATGCTGCAACGCAGGAGAATCAATCAAATCTTTCTTGCGTCAGTTCGCGCAGAAACTGCGGAGAAAATGGTACGCGTTCCCCGCGTTAGTGTATCGTTATTAGACACTTTTAATAGTGAACAGCGAGCGGACAACGGGCGAATAAACGTGACGTCGTAATATCATCTTTCAACATTATCAGTATCGCAGTTTACTTACAAAAACAAAGTTGCAGTTAACCGATCTTATACGAAACAATGTAATGTACGTTGCGACGCGCACAGCAACGTCCGCCATCTTAACGGCCGCGTGACCCCCTAACATTACGCTCGAAATACCCGCGGGCCCCAGCGCGTCGCGCGCCTTCGAAAAAGTGTTACCTTCCAGGATGGGATTCGCTTCCAAAATTTGCTGTTCGATCCACGAGTGCTTGCCGCTGATCGCTGCCAAATATTGCAAAATTAGTTTCGTACTTTCCGTTTTGCCGGCTCCGCTTTCGCCGCTAAGACATAAACATTCGTAAATTTGACATGTCGTTCGGACAACGACGCGTTGGGATAGAAGGCAGGGTGAAGAGCTAGCATAGGTACGCGTCCATTTCAGAGTGAAACTCCGAAGCGCGTTTCTGCCGATCTCAGAGTACGACGATCGTTCGACGAGTGTCACGCAGGATGCAGAGTAACGCGACCGAACGCGATACGCGGCGGTTTTACTCTCAAATGGACGCATTGCTCGATAGAACCGTTCGGTCTACGGATGGAAAAAGGCGAGCACCGGTACCTGATCACTATACATTGATCCTGTCCGTATCGGTTCATGTGCGCGTAACTGTTGTCGCCGATCGCGAATATGTGGGGCGGCAGCTCTCCGATTTTACGATCCTTGTACAGCTTGATCTGCTCCGCGGTGTATATCGGCAGAATTTGGTAGGGGTTCACTGCGACGAGGATCGAGCCGGTGTAAGTCTGCGGAGAAGAGAAACGTTTCAGAGATTTTCTCGACAGGAGTCGCAGGTGGATCGGACATTTCGAAGCGGACGTTTAGGATCGGTATACTCACGTATATCAGGTTCTCATTGTAGCGTATCAGCAAGTTTCGAAGGATTCCCGCTTCATGGAGGTCTCCTAGGCTGATCATATCCTCTACACCCTGCACGGAAGTAGCGTGCATCGCCTTTATCCGCCTCTCCGGAGTCAGCCATTGTTCCTGAAATCCAGCTTTCGTTGGTCTAGCGCTCGGAATTAACAGAACTCTCGATTATCTGAACTCTACGTCATGTGAACTCCAGATTATGAAATCCATCGATTATCCGAGTGTTTGGCTATCGAAACTCTGTATTATGAGATCTATTAACCGAATCTTCGATTGTCAGAATTACAGACCATCGAAACTGAAGCTTATTAAATCCTTCGATCATCAGAACTCTCGATCATTCGAACTCTGACCCGTAAAATCTCTCAATTATCGTACTCCTCGAACTTGGAATCATCTGAACACCGGATTACCAGATCTCTCGATCATCGGATCAATTAACCCGAACCTTCGATCATCGAGGCCAGCGATACATAATTTTCCATTAATTTCTCTAAAGCGAGACGAATCGTCTCGCCGGTGAATCGTTCGAATCCCCATCACCCTCGCCACCTCTTCCCCAATTAGTTCGAATAATCGAGGCTCCAGCGTGCCCGAGACCGGCGGGCAGCCGGCAGCATCGCCGCCGCTGCCGGCGCTGTTCGCAGCACACTTTCTCGCGCTTCGAAACACGCCGACTTTCCGATGAATCGAGAAACGCCGCGTCGCGGCGGCGCGGCAGCGAACGCGGAAAGTAGGTAACGATTACTTTACCTTGTTATCGTCGTCTTTCACTTGAATGCGCCTGCCTTCCGCGGAGATCACTCGTGCCCCGATCGCTACGTCAAATTCCCTCCCAGAGATTGGTTCGATCCATATGTAGTCTCCCTGCAAATGTATCTTGATCACGGGCAACGATCTCGCTCGATCGGTCCGGCCCAGTTTCGGGCCGCGGCCGCCGTAAACGGGACTAACGATCCCGATCCGCGCGACACGCGACACCGCCGGCGTCCGGGGAACGCGGGGATCGTTCGGCGTCCCGGGGAAACGGATCAAACCGTGAAACGAGCCTAAACGAGGGGATCCGGAGTCAAGGTTCGCGCGGACGGTCGTGCCGTTCGCGCGGTCGACGCGACGCGTGCTAGCTTGACCCGAATTAAGCCGAAAGCTAGCCACGGTGGACGCGTTGCCACGCGCTGTAACTGTAAACCTTAAGGTTTCGTCGAACTGGCTCCGATCGAACGGCTGACCCGTTAGAGGACCGACGCGCTGCCCGGGCTGTTCCGCGTTTCGGCTGATCCTCGACCGGACGAAAAGGAAAGGAAACGGCGTGCGTCCTCGTTCGAGCGCTGTTCCTCACTTGTCGCCCGTCGCTCGTCGCCGGCGACGTTTCCGCATGCGATAATCCAATTAGCCGAACGAACGAGTACTGCTCTGGCTTCCGGCCGGGTTTAACGTCGCGGTACTGTTATCTTCGGGGAGAGGACGGGGTGGAACACTGCGCATTGATATCTTGGATGCTTCTTAATCGTGACGTAGGATGTATACATCGGGGAAAGCTTTTCGGAGGATGGTTAGCTTTCGCGAGTCGAAAACGAGACGAGACGAAAATCGCAACTGGTATCCGATGGGATTTGGAAGTCTAGACTCGGTATTGTTATGTTCTCCAGTGACCTCAGGTCTTGAAAGCAACACTGGAGTCGGGAGAAGACATTTAGAAACGCTTCGTTTATCGTACCACACAATGAACAGAGAATCGAAAGTTTGCCGGCAACCTGAAACAACGCAGGTTTCACAAAACCCGGTGTCGATGTATCAGCAATGCGCATCATAACGTGTACAGGCCATGACACTGATGCAGCTTTCATGAAACCTGGTGCCGATGCATGCATCAGCAACATGGATCACCGAAGGCCTCTGCATTAGCTCATCTTCTGTCGTCGTTGCATTTCGCTGGTGACAATGGCGGTAATCTTGCGACTCGTCGCGAACATTCTTAAACTGCAATTGCTACTTAGCCCAGCTAAACTCGAGGAGATTCATTGATGAGCTATGCACATCGCGACTCTCGTGTTCCGAAAGAAAGATGTCAACCCTGTAGTCCTTCGATCATCCGCGACGATGCAGAGTGTAAAAACCAACGCCTCGATATCGCAAATAATCTAAACGTGTTTATGTCGAGAAATTGAAGAGGTCGGATTACGAAAGAGTCGTTGCCGAAAGTGTAGCCTTCATCCGCGACCGAAACGATTGCGTTGCGGCGATCGCTTCGCGAGTATCGCGCGGACGCCGAGCTTCTCGGTGAAAAGGCAGAAGCGCGAAAAAGCGTTGGCATCGAGGCATCGATGAGTCATCGACGATAGGTCTAACGCGAGTCGAACCGGTCGGGCGCATGAGAACCCCTGGCCTAGCTAGCCTATGCTTCACGTACGCCTCTACACGGACGCACAGGTTGCGCCTGGATATTCGTATACGTTCCGATTGTTCACCTCACCGGAACATCGGAAGAGCTCATCCGCTCGTTAGCTCGAAACAAGCCTACGCGCGGCTGCGGCGATTCGGCCCTTTTTCGCGACACGATTTTACTTTCGTCGGCTGCCCCCATGGACTGTCGATATCCCGGATCGGTCGGGATATGCGGGATGTTCGGGAAAAATTCGAATCGTCTCGGACGAGCCTCGAATAGGCGAACCTTATACGCGATACTCGTGCACCGTTGCCAACGAAAGTCGAGACTTTCAAAACTCGAAGACCGATTAGACGTTTAAGAGTCCGTTTATTTACACACGTGTATACATATGTATGTGCATAGGTATGCATTATTTAGTGTAGACGAACGGTGGCACAATGATAGAGTATAAATGTTATCTATTTGCACTGTCGACGAGAGACCTTTGTGAAGCAGCTGGAGAACATCTGAGAATGTCTAACTCGACAATTGAAAATATTCGAAACTAGGGTCGAAATGTCAATCGCTAGATGGTCACTGTATTGTAACTGATTCGTGACAAAGTCTTTGAGCGAGTAATAAACGATCTTGGTAGGGCGATGTGTGTTACATGAGATAGGTATACGTGAAATACGATAGTGTAGTATTTAATATGTAGACGCATTGAAGGAGAAGAGGAAAAATGTTTGATCGCGGGATCTGTTTTAAGGGACGTTCCATCGCAACCGGAAGCATCGGAGTGACACGACTCGACGTTTCGATTGAACGGTCAAGGGAAAAAGGGCGAAGGGTGCGGCGACCGCGTGTTCGCTCGGGGAGAGAATAGAAGAGAGTCGATGGTAGAAACGCGCTGTCCGGTAAAACGATTCGCGTCCCGTTATACGACGGCTGGTTCGCTCGCGCGAAATGCTAACGCGCTGTACAGGGCATTCGCGATGCGATGAAGGACCGTTAACTACTTCCAATTAACCGACCACACGTTTCGGAATACCCCAGGCTATTCCCGCGTTAATCACGCGCATAGTTTGATCCGTTCCGATCGGAACATTGCGACAATGTCGGTCGTTCAACGCTGGAACCGTCGGTTCGGTCGAAATCGTTTTTCCCTTGGAACGGAACGTTTTCCTATCGAAAAGGAAGTCTCCGTAGAAACATTTAGAAGAGACGCGTCGATTCGACAGTTCTAGCGTTACAAGCTGCGCGATATCAGCTACAAAGTGTACCGATCGTTCTCACTAATCCACAATTATTGAAAAGACAACAGACGTGTTTCCGACAAACCACTGTGAACCGATTCAGCACGCGAACCGGATAAGTCAATCAAAGTTCCAATAGATCCTCTGTTCGAATCTCCGTGAAACAATTTTCAAACCCAACACGATCGCTTTGTAATTGAAACTATACCCGGTTAGGCGAGGGATTGAAACACTGCTTATCTACACGATGAAATCTCAATATTAATCCTGACAAGGTTCTAATTTGGTTTTTATACGTGACATTAGGAAAGTAGCAATGCACAGTCTAATTACGATCAACTCGTACCCTCAAATCGAAGGTTTTTCCTGACGAGACAAGAACGTAAGTGTATCGGGATGAATGGAACAAACAAGTCGATGCTGACGAAACGAGAGTGCCATAAGGTCGAACAGATTCGAAGAACACAGCGGGGTCAAATTTGAATTCACAAGGAAACGTAAGGTTCTCCGTCGGCTGCGTGCGGCGAACGGTCTTCAGCGTTTCTCTCGCGATGGGCGCGTTCCACTTTCATCGAGACGAAAATGCGAACGCAGCCACGGAGGCTCGAGGGAACGGAAACACGTGCGAACATCGGCTCCCGGATCGAACGGGCCCACCGGAAACACCGCGGACGCGATTAACGAACGATCCCGAGGGCCGCGGCGGATCGAAGGTGAACCGGTCGGTCGGTGTCGTGTCCGCGATATACATATAAATGAAACAGAAATAACTCGGAACTATGCGCGTACTCGAGCGGCGTGCTCGCGCGGTCGTTTGTTTCGAATGCGGCGCGCCGGCTGAAAAATCCCGAGCGTTCTCCGGAACGTTCGAAGGAACCGCGCGCACGTGTCTCCCTTTTCGTCGCGTTTCGTTGCGTTCCGTTGCGTCGCCGTCTCGTCCCATCGCAGATTCCCGTCGGTCGCGTTTAACACTGGGGCTATCAGTCGAATGGGACTTCCTCGAATCGTTCTCTGGAAACTACGAAAGCAGAACCGTTGAGAATTTCAACTGATTTACTAGCTTGGTACCGATCAATCGATTTCCTTAGCAGTTTCTTCGGAGAAACGTCTGTTGTCCGTTGAAGAATTGGGAAAGGAGGAGTCGAGAATTCGTTGTTTCGACACTTTCGGAAGTTCCAGTGTTGAACCACCCGAGAATCGACGAAATGGACACTTGATGAATTCGCAGTTCAGCGGCGTTTTCAGTGGAGGGTTAACCGGTCTTGAAGAAGAGGTACCAATGGAAATTGAATCGATGATTTGTCTAGTTACAGGTTATTTCTCAATGTTGTGTCATTGATTGAGACCCAGTTAGCCACTTTGAAATGTTTACGCGAAACGGCGATAAGCAGTGGGCGAAAATTGGGAAAAGCCGCTGAACCGCGTGTATACTCACTTACCCGCGTGACGATGACCATCTCTCAAGTCGTGGTTGTCGGCACTCCGCCTGGAAGAAAAGTAACTCGTTACGATGTTTTTCTAGTTTCTCGGACAATTGAGAATATTCTCTGCTTAAGTTTATTCTGCTGAGACTAGTTTCTATCTTACTCTGCACCTCAAGCGCTCATTTCTATGGTTCTATCGTAGACTTCGACTAACGTTTCTACAGTATCCTAACGTGAATGTTCAGTTCCCGGCATTCAGACTACATTTTAGACTAGTAAATATTCGTTATAGATCCTGAATATTAATTATACTAATATTGTCAAGCCACAATCGACGAAGCGGCGTCGCGCGATTTCATTCTCTCGCGATACAGTACGGCATCAAACCGAAGATAAACAAATTTCCGTCTCGTTCGTCGGCCTGGCCGGCTCCAGCGAGTAGAAAACTCTCGTCGGGAATGTTCGCCGGCCGAGAATCGGCGCGGAGTATGATGGCATTCTCGATAGTACGAGAAATTGCATGAACTCGCGGCGTTCGTTCGCGGCTCACGGCACGCGGCTCGCGGCTCGCCGGCTTCGTACGCTGTTACGCGTGTCGGAGATGGCCTAGGCGCGACGGTCCATCCATTCGAAGAAAAATCGTTTGTACGCGCGACGACGGCGACGACGACGACGTCCGATGCCCGATCACCGTTACGGTGGAAGCGGCGCAAGCATAAACCTGTTCGCAAAAGTGGGTTAGGCAGTTTCTGCTAGCAGCGAAGCGGCTCGGCCCGTCGACGATCATCTCGACGAAATTGATCGGGATTGAATCGAATCGAATCGAATTGAATCGGAAGAAAGTTGGTTCCGTCGATCGGACGCGACCAAGCTGCGGTTTACGCGTGGCTGCCGTCAATTTCGTTCGGCGAAACACAACGACGGATTTTGCTAGGAATTATGCTCGCACGAGTAACTCCTCCGGTCGACGAACCAATCGATCCGAGCGCGTAATGCCTCTACTTTTTACTACTCGCGACGCAGCCACGGGAGTACCCGTGATTTTCCCGTGGCGAGGAAAGCATCGGTTGTGTACACATTTCCGGCAAACCGTGACGATCGGTCCCCGCAAAAACGCTCAGCCTCCTACCGTCTCCTATCTCGCCAGCTATCGAGAATCCGCCCGAGCCACTTGGCAAACGAGTAACAGGGACGCCGAACGTTTTCCCTTGAACTTGAAACGCCGAACGTGGACAGGAGTCGTAGTCATTGACTTTGAAAGTGTCCGAAGAACGGCTAGTCGCGCGGCGGTTGCTCGTTGGAGACTTCAACGGGTGATCAAACGAGTACGCGAGAACGCGTGACCGCATCGGTTCCCTTGTCCCGATGGAAATTTCCTCGCTCGAGCGGGAATTTCATTTATCACTTATAACATTCGATTCTAAGCTTTCAAGCTGCTAAGCTTCTGAACTTCGAAACTTCCGATCCGCTAACGGTCTAGACTCGCTTTCGATCTTTCAAACTTTAAAACCTCTGAACCTCGAAATTCTCGAACATCCAAGTTCCCCTCCTCTTAGACAGGTTCCCCTATTTCAAGCGCTGCCTCATCGGCCGCAATCTCTTTCCACGTGTGCATCCTGATCGCGCCAAGGTTTTCCGGAACCTTTCCTTCCCATTACCCTTTCCCGCGAAATCCGTATCCCGTAACGACTCGGCGCCGACACGGCGCATCGTCGGGGCATCCCTCGTCGGAGCTCACATCCGTTTAGTAAACATTCCAGCGTTCGACGCGCGGCGTATGGCACTGCCGAGAGATATTACCTGAATCCGAGAGCGTTACGGTTATCTGCCGTTTCTATTATCGCGCTTTAAATCCCCCCGTTCTCCGTGCACGTATAGTCGTCGCCTGGTAATCGTCGTAATGCCGCGATTCGCTCGCTCGCTCGTCCGTCGAGTGCGGCGGAACGCAAGAAATTCCGCGGCCAAAAAAACTGTTCCGCATTCGCGGGGGCAAGGTTCTCCGGTATCGTGTTCCCGGCCCCCGAGGCGTCTCTCGCGACGATAAAGCGACGCGGCGCTGGTTCCCGTATCGTCGCGTTCGCACCGTCATCTCGATCCCCGAAGGAGCACGATTTCGCAGGTGAGCCGGGTCCGGCACGGGCCGAACCGAACGTTGCCTCGCCTGGACGACGAAGCCACCGTACGAGCGCGAGAGCGTTCGGCCGAACGGAAAGGTCCGAGAGATCGGTCTTCGCAGGTGGAATATATCTGGAATTCCGACTGAGCCCCCTAACCCGGACTTTCGGCGTGTAACCCGACGCACGATAGGAGCCAGCAGCGAGCCTGCGAACGGAGGATTCGAACGTACCTGTGCGAGTAACGAGAAACACGACGAAAAGCGGCTATACGTCGGCACACTCCATTAAGAAGAAGGAGAAGAGGAGGAAGAAGAAGAGGCACTGCACTGCACTTCGGACGCGACGTGAAGCGCGCTTTTCATGTCCGACCTGACACCAGGGGGATTACCGGAGGAGGTCGACGCTCGTGGATCCGACTGAACGTGGAAAAAGGAAAGATCGCCGCGGCACGACGATAGGGAATGGGACACGAAAAGCAACAGTAATCGTTCCGGAGGATGGGCCCCACGGTGACCGGCACATTAACGCGTCCACTCGGAGAGCTTCGGTTCGAATCGGGCGTGCCAGGTGGAAGCGAAGCGACTGAGAGCGGCGCAGAGGTGGAAAAGCTACTCTTTACGGTACAGCTTAGACCGCCGATCGGCTCCGACTACGCGCCGCCACCCTACCAACCTTTTCCCGTGCCTCGGCAACCTGATGCTCTCTCCTCTCGCGGCGGGCTCGATCGGGATCGGGATCGGTACCGGGATCGAAGCCGAGTCGAACATCGCCCGGTCCTTCGGAAGATCGGTGAATCTTCCTAGACGATGGATCTCGTCACGTCGATCCTCGTTACGCACCTACACGCGCGTACACTGGCACACCTGTGGTCTACCTGCGCTACCCGCGATACCTGTTGCGCTCGTTCCGGACTAGGCCCTTCCTTATCCACCGGCTACCCGAGATCGCGCGATCTTACCGATCGAGCCGGATATCGCCGGAAGCAGATTCGCCCGGGGATGAATTCCAGCGATTGAAATTCTTCGAAGTTTTCCGTTACGGAGACCCTCGGTTGTCTCGAATGCGCGTAGGGAAATTTGAATCGCTCTGAAAGCGATTCGGTCATCTCTGACGTTCAAAGGTTTTACGAAGTTTCAAATTCGTCTTTGGCAAGAGACGCGACGCTGGCGACCTCTGCATCGCTGCACCCATTTATATCCGTGTAACTCGCGTATTGTTGCAAATGTAACCGAGATTTGGCTGGAATTCAAGATTTTCAGGATTTTAGAAATATTTCACAGGCGGAGAGTATTGAAGGTTATTCGAAGTATTCGAATTTTCACTGTTTCGGGAATATCGAATTGCGTCGCGGAATGGGATTTAAATGTCGTCATTGGTTACCGGTGTCTGCGCATGCGCGAACGCCGGAGGAAGTGCGCGCGGGAATAAGCAGGCGGACGTATCGTTTACATTGAAAATATATTCTCATTTCGTGCGTGTTTCACAAGAACGTTATACATTTATGTATTTGCGATGTTTGTAACTTATAATTACAAAGTGACGCGGGAGGTAATCGGAATTTCAGCAGCGTCAACGGCAACATCGGCGAGATCGTGCTCGACGCGATTCAACGATCAAGTAAATCATTTTTACATACGTAACGCATCCTCTCCGTATAACGAAAATCGTATTCTAACGTCAACGGTTATTTCCTCGAGTGTTTCAATTAGTCGTGCACTAAGAACCGCGTTCTTATCAGCATCCAGGTTTGCGAATAATTTTTTATTTTAACCGAAAATAATTCACGCTATTCGAAGGTTCGAGATTAGTTTTTGAAAATGTCTCGATGTGCCGTGCCGTCGAAACTAGACGATATTGGAACCTACATCTAAATCAAGAATATTGCGTGTATATTGCTTTTCCCGATAGCTAGATAGAAATTAGTCGAAATATATTTGTAATAATCAATGAAGCATCGGCGAATCGTATAACAACTTCGAACGTGTGTAATAGAACGTGTTCTGGTACACGGGACACGCGTGTAATTATTGTGATCCGAAAGCGTATATTCTCTTAGCAACATACAAAATGTCTAACATGCGATGTTATTTAATAAACAATTCTTAAGAGCACATGATATGGTTACGCTAAAAAGTACAGACGAATTTGCAGCAATAGATATCTTTACAGTTCACTACGCTTCTTTACATCGAGCAACTGAAACGCCGCCATCTAAGTCTAATTCTTCTTTTTTTCTTCTTCTTCTTCTTCTTCTTTTTCTTCTTTTATAGACTTCAGTGCAATTCAGTAACAAATGCTATTTCTCTCGTCGCAACTGTTCCTTTATTGCGAGTTACAGTAACGAAACCGATAGATAATCGTATTTATTTGCTACACTACTCCGAAATAGTATTTATACCGTATTCAGGTACAAGATATGCATACCGGCGTTACATCGAATCGCAATGCAGAATTCAACGGAAACAATGTAAGATCGATCGATCAACTAGAAAAACTTTTCTCGTAACCGTGCTGTTTTCGTGGAAGCGCCGTTTTGTTTTTATATTTTGAATCGCATTGCCGACAGAATCGTGATGATTGATTCGGTTCATCTCGATCGACCGTCATTTACTTTTGCATAATTTGTACCCATTTTGAATTATTCGAAGAAATCGATAAATACCGAAAAGTTACTTCTCTTTCTCTGTTTTTATTAATCGTTTGCTCGGCTCGTGTTTTCTCTTCGTTCCCGACAAACGAAACTACATGTAACATTAAACAATTAGGAATATAACAAATAGAACGACTAGGACCTACAGCGACCTGTGTCTCTTCGAACGTCTCATCCTGACAACAGTTCTCATTTACACGTTTCCCATAGTCCTTCGAATATTCTCGCACTTACACCGAATTCACGTTCGCATCCCAAAATTAGTAGCTACGTCAACAAGGCGGAGATATAATCGGTCGGTTCAAAAAGCATCGCTGGATAAAGAATTAATCGTGTTTTATAGGGGCATGTGATAAGGAAGCGATAATCGTTTCTAGATAGGCCAAAGTAACCTATGTTTCTGGTCAGTTTTTTTGACCGAACAATGATAAAGTCTGCA